CGCTGCATGTCGTGGCGCCACCCGGACAAGGCCGTGCTGCTGCACGGTGCGGTCCGCCTGTCTCACACGCCCTTCACCGTCGTGGAGTTCGCCACCCTCCTGGCCATGTCGTCGAACTCTAGAGCGGTGGAGTTGGCGGCCAAGCTTATAACGTGAGTACGCGTTCGTCGCACGGTGTCCTCTGTTTAGGCCAAGTGTTGAAGAAAACGTATCTTTGAATCATGTGACGTCTTACAGTTGTGCAGTTCAAGAGTGGTCCGAGAACATCTACGTCAACACGTCGTACGTGACGCTGCTGCTCACCTCGAACTGCAGGAGCCTCTTGTCGCTGGAGACCGCGCTGGAGTGCCTCGGGCGTGCGCGCAAGCTGGCTCCCAACAGCCCCCTTCTCTCGGGCTACTACTGGAGCCTGCACGACATACAGCGCGCCGGCGGCCAGCTGTCGCCGATCCTCGAGGAGAGCGCCGAGGACATGATCGCGAGGGGCATTGGCCAGTGGGACGCGGCCAAGGAGGCCAGGATGCGTGAGCTCGCCGCCCAGCTGTACCCTGGCGCGGCGGTTGTGAAGACATCCACGGCCTCCCAGCTCCTCGCGGCGCCGCCGCAAGAACAGCCATCGCCCACCCTCGCCGGGGAAGACCTAAGCCCGGCCATGCGCTCGCCGAATCTCTGGGGCCCGGCGGCACCTCGAAGAGCACCAGTGCGGAGGTCGGCGACCCCGCCACTGCCGTCGTCGAAGATGACCACACCGGTGACAAGCCCGGTGACGACCCCGTCGACCACCCCGGCCACCTCCCCGTCATCATCCCCGCCTTCAGGGCGCCGATTGAGAACTCAGACGCAAATCGGCACCCTGCGCATGCCGCTGACCAAGCCTGCTGCACCTGACGCCCCTTCGGCTGCACCCGACGCCCCTTCGGCTGCACCTGACGCCCCTTCGGCTGCACCTGCATACCGGCTGTCTGTGCCACCCCCACCGCCCTCACTTCGAGAACGGACTGCTGCACCGAGCCCTGCTCCTCCTGCCGCTGCACCGAGCCCTGCTCCTCCTGCCGCTGCACCGAGCCCTGCTCCTCCTGCCGCTGCACCGAGCCCTGCCCCTCCTGCCGCTGCACCGAGCACTGCTGCTGCACGGATCACAGCTGCTGCACAGAATATACCGTGGGCGTCATGGACGAGCCGCTCTGCCCCGTTAACACCACCTCCAACTCCTTCCCCTCCGCGTGAGGGGTCGTTGAGTGAAGAAGGTAGGCTTCCCAATATCACTTGGCTTTAATGCTTTACATATTTATTTTTAAAGAGTTTGAGGGTTGTTGTCTGAACATTGTTGAGGAAATATTCACTGTCTTTGAAGTTCATATTGAATATTTGATTTTGATTTGGCATTTTTTGTTGTGCTTACTTTTCTATCAAACAGTTTAATTTTAACTTGTCTTCTACTGGATGAAAAGTGCTGAGTAGATCACACTTGCGTAATCAGACACACTCAATAAACTGGTGCAGGATGCAGTTTGGTGATCTAATTGAAACTAATGTCGTTTTTGGGATATTCTTAAATAATTTCCAGTTTTCTACAACTACTTTTCTACTTTCTTAAAGTATTATTCATATCTTGGTCTTTTGGGAACTACATTTGGATTATAGTCTTATAGCCTCTTCCGGTATACACACTGTTGGGCCAAAGTACAGACTCTGGTTGTGATAAAAATAAAAAATTATCAGTGAGACCACATACGCAATATACATTGATACTCCTGCAGTTATTAAATCTAGAGTATATAGGATGTTTGCCTTATGGTATGTTTTTTAAATGCTGTCCTAAGCTAATTATTTTTGTTTTCTGTTTTTTTTTTAACAGCTGACACCGTACCTCTCTGGCGGCGCCCGACTGGCGCCGGTCTGACCGAGGTAAGGTCCAGATGGCGAACATCGCCTGCATCCATGGGATCTTCGGCTTTAACCATAGTAATGTCTGAATCCTTGGCCACCAAGTCTTCGTCCAAAGTGACCTCTGCCCCCATGGCAGGGAAGCCTGCTATTGTCAACTGTGTATGTACGAGCAGTTGTGCTCTATTAACTTATAAAAGTTATGGAACCCTTCGCCCTGGTGCGTCCATACCTAAACTTTGCTCTTTGAAGTAAATTTTCAATTTTTATTAAGTACTGTGTTGTATGTAATTGAAGTATGCAATGTTTTGTACATTATCCAAACTGACTGACTTTGTCTTTGTGAAATTTTATACCTGTAAGAGTTAAGACTTGCCTCTAAAAGAAAAAAAAAATAACAACTGTTTAAACCAAACAATCATGTAATTAGCACAGGAGGCATTATTTCTAATAAATGAAATTGTATTGTCATCCATCCTCGTCTTTTATTTGCTTTGAAATAATGTGTAAAGCCTCTGTCAATAATTAGGCCTCAACGTATCCACAAGTCCACTTTTCATTTTAAAGTGATACATTACTGCTACCATTTCAATAATGTGCTTTTGCGCAGTGCAGCAGACTTAATAAGCGTCCAAAGGAAAATTATCTCCCTTCGAGCACACATGGTGGCCGCCCCCTGGCCCACACCCACTACAGACAGGGCAGGGAAAGGGTGTTTAGGGGATGCGGTGGACGAGCGGGCGCAACACAGGGCAGGGCGTGTCGTGGCGAGAGAGGGAATCCAATTAAGGTGGATTTAGTCTCGTGAAGACTGAAGACTGAAGACGCGTAGTTGTCAACTGTTTTGGTGCAAATAGTCGTAATTTTGGCCTATTTGCAGCAAAACAATTGAAAACTATGCGTCTTCAGTCTTCAGTCTTCACGAGACTAAATCCACCTTGAGTGGTCCGGGGTATTGAACTAGTAGAGCCATTTCTGAAAATAATCGGTGTGTGTCGGCTTCTTCGAATGCTCTCACATTTTTAATAAATAGTTACGTCGATTTAACAGTCACCAGCGACACACTTGCTTACCCTCCCCTGCTGGGCGTATTTCTGGAACACCCGGCGTCGGGTTGGCAGTATTTCACTATTGCTTCTTCATTCTCTTTTTCCCTTTCCCCCATCAGTGTTTGTATCTGGTGCCGGTCGGTCGTGTTGAAGTGTAGTAAAGTAAGCACACGTCCTAATTACCTTTGCAGTGTTGTGGTGTATTGTGTTCATGTTTAAGTGCTTTCAAGCTGCTTTTGGCCATGACCGTTATTGTAAGGAGCTCCATAATTTCGGCGCAATGGTTAGGGTAAGTAGACATGGCTACAGTGTGTGTGTATAGGCTTTAATACTTGGCCGCTGGCTGTGGTATCAGCAAGCTGCCCTGGCACGTGTACCACTGACAGTCTCCTTACCCATTCTTTCGTCAGACTCAATATAAACAACATAATAGCTTACCACAGCAGTGCGTCGGGTATTGTGTCTAGAGAACTAGGTTAAGAGTCATTGCATTTGAAGCTTTGCAACGGCCGGCGTCCGGGTGGTGGTGATGTGTGTCCGGCGACCGGGTGAGCGTGTGGACTCCGTCGTAACACCGTCTGCTTACTTTTAGGTGCAAGTGACGAAGTGACGAGTGTGTACGAGCTTTCGATGTCCTGATTGACCGTACCGGCGACCGGGACAGACAGGATTTCCCATCCGACCCCATCAGCATCAGCCCAGCCCGCGGCGGCGGCACTGCCGCTGTCACCCTGCGAGGTAGGCAGCCCAATCCGCTCCTGTGTACTGGCTTGGCCTAGCCAAGGCCCACGGGCGGTGAATGTGTTGGGGGAACATGGGATGGGAGGGAGGGCGTTTCAGTAGCGACGTTAGAGCAGTTAGAGGGGCATGCTCAGGGGATATGGCCATACGTTTAAATCTGTCCAATATTTTGACACTACTTCAGGTTAAATTCGAAAGTGCTATGGCTGTTAAACGCGTCAGCGTTTGCATCTTTCCCGCGTAGTCTTCTTTTTTTTCTTATCTCTCTCCGCGCTGTCCGCGCATCCTCTTTGCTCCTTTCTTTCTCCGTATTTCTCGCACTCACAGAGATTCCCACAGCTTTGCAACGGAATGCAAAAAGGGACGGGGGCTGCTGCGTATTGCGGTGCCGGCGTCGTCTGCGAGGCGGAGACAAAGGCTGCCGGGCTCTGGAATGTAGAAATGGAAATAGCGTAAGGCCCTACCCACACCCACCCCTTCCGCCGCCCCGGCCACTGCGCCCCTTAGCTCTGTTACAGCTCGGCGACAAGTGCATCTCGGCTTTGCTATCGGTACGCAGGAGGGGAGGGGGTGGGGGTGGGGGCTCGGCGTCCTGTTTCTTTTTCTTTTCTTTTTTCTTTTGTATTGGCTTGCGGTTGCGTTGATGAAAAAGGCGGAGGCCGGGGAGAAGGTCCTAAGTTTTGAGTTGATCGTCCTACCGAGCATGCTTCCTGTTATGGAAACTGACCAAGAGTTCAATCAAATTTGAAGTAGAATTTTTCAATGTGCTGCCATTAAGAAGGCAAGGGTCTGAAATGTAGAAGAGGGGAGGGGGGTTGGTGGAGGTGCATAACTGACTATCCAGCCATATTCCGCCCGGCTCTCGTGTCTCAGCCCGATGAATGAGTTTTCCGACTACAGACGCTTGGGGTAAGTCCCCGGACCGCCCCCCTTCCCCCTCCCTCCCTGCACCCCTGGCGCCGCCGCCGCCGCGCGGCGGTGGCTTAGGAAGGAGAGGAGGGAGTCGTCGGGGCGATGGGGCAGCGGGTGGAGATACTGAGCCGAGGGCCAGAGAGAGAGGCTGGATGGGCCCACCATGCACCGAGAGATACGTCCGATAGCATGACGGATGTATCCCCATTTGCCAAACCGCCTTATCTGTGCCTGCCTGCATGCACGGCTCGTCGCTCCTCCCCAGAGCCCCTGCCCCTGCCCCTGCCCTGCCAGCCCCTCCCAGCCCTGCACACTGGCCTCTCTGGCCTGGCCCGTGGGGAACGATCTCCGCTTTCATTAAAAGCGACCAGGTCAGCAGTATACTCTAGGAGAGCTGCTGGCCTTTCGATCTGATACTAAAAGGATGAGGGAATCCCCGTTCAAACGGCCTCGTGAGCTTATTCCGAAATAAGTTATTGTACTTGGCTCCAATAATGCCAGTTTTTTTCCAGTAAAATGATCTTGGAATAAGCCTTACAAATGTTTTTTTGTTGACAAAGTCGAGGGCAGACTGGACAATAAGGTGTGTGAATGTCACTTTTTTTGGAGGTGTGCGAATTCCCGCTTGTACTCTTGTAGCAGCAATGAATGCTCCTATCGGAATTTCGCGCACCTGTGCCGAAATATACGATGAATGAAAATTCACACGAGTACAAATGTGTGAAAGTCACCTACTTGGGTTTGTGGTACACAGTTTTCTAGGTGGGGTTTCCAGGAGGCCAGGGTTATTATACAGTCCCAGAGCTCCACTTTTGTTTTATTTTAATTGATTTCTTGGGTGAAAGGAGATTTAGATAGGCACCGCTAGACCGAGGTAATGACGGTGTGTTATGTGGATGGGTCGCAGCTCCCCCGCCTCACAAATGAGCAGCTGCGCATCCCCGGGCTCGGGGCTGGGGAGCTCCGCTGCGACCGCGGGGGTGTGTTTGGAGCCTCGCCGGTGACACGTCCTATAATTGCGTGCAATGGACTGGCGTCCAACGCGGTGCGGTGTACATCTGCATGCAATTAAAGCGGGGCGGTCCCGCAGGCGTGCCGATTCACCCCATCGTGTCTGTGCCTCACCCCACCCCCCGACAACCCTTCCCACACCTACCATATGTGACCAGTCAGCCCCCCTTCCCCCTTCCCCCCACCACAAGTGATCACTCAACCGCTCTGCAGCTACGCTCCGCCGGGCCATGCAGCAGCAGCGGCGCCCCGGTCGGCCCTTGTGCGCTGCGCTCGTCAATGCGATGCAGAGCGGCGCGAGCGATGGGAGGCGCGCCTGGGGAGTGAGGAGGAGGAGGACTGCGCGCGCGGCGGGTCCGCGCTTCTTGCTACGCCCCCGTGCATTTCCTTGCGGCCAGAGCAGCAGACGTGCGCGCAATGCTAACCATCTTGTGTTTCTTGTAGGCTATAGGGGAGAGGAGTCCGTCAGGGTGTGGGTGTTTTGTTGACGGTGATCCTCCTATTTGGCGTTAAGCATCACGCAAAGTACTCAGATATAATGGAAATAATAGAAAAGGCGCCGTTCTCAGCGTTTACAAAGATGCTCCCCGTCACACAACGCTAAAAATCTTGAATTTAATGCTTTTGTGTAAACGGAATACCAAAAAAAAGAAAAAGAAAGAGCCCGAAAGGTACTATGAAAACGACTGCGTTTTAGTATGCCTTGGTACAGGTGCTAAACCCATAAAACCCTTTAAAGGCGTGACTTTACACCTTATTTGTTTTTCCAGTGATTTTGAACAGCAGCAGCAGCCAGCTCGAATAGTCTAGGGACACGGCGGTAGCGCGCTTAGGCTGCCATACCATACCCCGACCCGCGCCGTGTTATTCCGCGCAAAAGGACGAGTTTTCCATCCCCGCCCGTCCGCCCGCTCCGCTCATCCGTGCCACATAACGAGGTCGCGGGGCGGCTCGGCTCGGCCAAATGTTAAAAGATTATTTGATGCGGTGGCCGAGCTCGCCCTTTGACATGTCGGCCTCGTATTGCGGCCGAGTGAGGCGGGCGGGGGACGCTATGTACATCGCCATCCATCCATTCATGAGTAATGCAGGCGGGCCTCTGGAGGGAGCCGACTACCTCTGCTCATCAGCAATTCTGCGGCTCTCGCGGCTACTTTGGTCACGCGTCCCGCCCCACGTGAGCTTCGGCTCGGTGTGGCGGCCGGGTACAGCGGCAGTGTGCCGGTCGGCTCGCTCGCCTGGGGTGGGTGCCTCATATGGCGCCGCTCCATGCTCACTGGATGGATGGCCGTTTGAATGACCGTGATTGTGACGAGTCTGTGGCAAGGAAGAAGGTTCGACTGCAATCGTTGATTGCCGCTTACCATGTGTGTAGAAAACTCGCACTTCTGTGGAGTTGTACTGGTTTTTACACTACTGTAGCAGATGTGACATTATTTTTCAATAACGACTCTCG